AATCATACCTCCCACTTCAACTGACATCATTTCCTAATAACATCCTTTTACCAGCTGAAGAACCCTGACACAACCAAGTCTGACAGTGTATGTCACATTCTACACTCATGGTCACCTATCTCTCCAGCAAAAAGAGGGGGTGATACATTTCCTAATTTATTCTATGGAGACGAGATCGATCATTAAAATTATCAGACAGATCTATTTTAGGTGAGCACTATACACATTAAATATTTTGGTCTAACATGTCCACTTTTAGAGATTTCTTCCTTACAAAAACATTTCTTTTTTTATGTTGTCATAAACCAGGTATATATCACCTAATATTTTTGGTTCTGAGGAAAAAAGAACTGATTAGATGAAGCAGCATGATAAGAGCAGGTTAGTTCCACTGAAATTGTGTAACAATGGCATTAGCTACATGCTTGACTTTAAAACAGGGTTCTTCACCAATCACCTCCTGAAAGAGATCTCAAAAGGAAAACTCTCAGGAATATTATAGCCAAATTCTAGAGTTCCCAGGTCAAGGAGAAAATACCGCAGGCAGCCAGAAAGAAACAATTCAAGTATTGTGGAAACACAATCAGGATAACACAAGATGTAACATCTTCTACATTAAGGGACTAAAGGGCTTGGAATATGATATTCTGGAGGTCAAAGGAGCTAGGATTAAAATCAAGAATCACCTACCCAGTAAAACAGAGTGTAATCAATGAGTGGGAAAAATTGATATTCAATGATGTAGAGGAATTTAATGTATTCGTGAGAAGCCAGAGCTTTCAAATACAAGACTCAAGAAACATGAAAAGGTAAACAGGAAAGAGAAATCATAAAGGACTTATTAAAGTTGAACTGTTTACATTCCTATATGGAAAGATGATATTTGTAACTCATGAGACCTTTCTCATTATTAGGGAAGTTTGAGGGAATATATATAGACAGAGGGCACAGAGTGAGTTGAATATGAAGGGACGATATCTAAAAAAGAAAAATAAGGGGTGACAGAGGAATGTACTGGGAGGAGAAAGACAGAGGAAGAATGGGGTAAATTATCTCACATAAAAGAGGCAAGAAAAGCTTTTACAGTGGAGGGGAAGGAGGGGAGGTAAGAGGGAATGAGTGAACTTTACTCTCATCGGATTTGGCTTAAGGAAGGAATAACATACACATTCAACTGGGCATGGAAATCTATCCTACCCTACAGGAAAGTAAGGGGAAAGGAGATGAGAGAGAGGGGTGATAGAAGGAAGGGCAGATTGGGGGAGGGGGTAATCAGAAATAAACACTTTTGAGGAGGGACAGGGACAAAGAAGAGAATAGAATAAATGGGGGCCGGGATAGGAGGGAGGGAAATATAGTTAGTCTTTCACAACATGACTACTATGAAAGTGTTTTGCATGAATACACATGTATAACCTATATCAAATTGCTTGCCTTCTCAATGAGGGTGGGTGGGGAAGGAGGAAGGGAGAAAATATGGAACTCAAAGCTTTAAGAACTAATGTTAAAAATTGTTTCTACATGCAACTGGGGTATAGAAATCTATCTACACAGGAAATGGGGTATAGAAATCTACCTTACCCTACAGGAAAATAGAAGGGGAAGGGAATAAGAGAGGAGGTGATAAAACGGAGGGCAGATTGGGGGAAGGGATAATCAGAATGCATGCCGCCATGGGGTGGGGAAAGGGGAGGAACAGGGAGAAAATTTGGAACTCAAAATATTGTGAAAGTAAATGCTGAAACCTAAGAATAAATAAATAAATAAATTGTTAAAAAAAACTGGACTGGTTGTGGAATCAGGGCTAGGAGTAGAATAAAATATCAGGAAATGGCTATGATATGAAAACAAAAGTCAGCAATAAAGCTTTTTAAAAACTAAAAACAGACCAGTCTGCAACGGACAAGGCCTTCAAAGACAAAACATTTCATAACACAATATAATTTTACAAAATCAATGCAGTACCCCTATATAGAGGTATCACAAATATGTAACTAGAAATAATTACAGAAATCATTTCCCAAATTGATTTAAGGTAACAAAATTATTGTTCCCTTGCCCCTACCAAAGCTGTTACGTTGCTTCTACCTATCTTGTAACAGGTTGGAGTTATCAGTACAAAGCTATGGAATGGTTTTTTTTAGAAGTCCTTCCCTTATGATTTAGTCTTCTCATCTTCGAAAGAGCCTTCATTAGATTTCAAAAATCACCAAAAAACTCTTTCTTCACTAATATTCCATTATGTAATTATCCTTATTATTAAATTCATTTTCTTTGCTCTAGATCAACTCTTAATTTTCCATGACATATTACGTATCTAGTACATTCAGTCCCATTCACAATATTTCCTTTTCTGACATTCATTTTAAAGTTGTAACTTGTTGATTCAGTACTAACACAAAGACCTTATGTCTTCACTCTCCACATCACAGAAATATCTTCAAATAATTTCTGAAGCAACTGTTTTCCTAATCAGTTACTTTGACTTGTTCAGTCATTTCAGTTGTGTCTGACTTCATGACCTCATTTGGGTTTTCTTAGAAGACAATGGAGTGCTGCCATTTCCTTCTCCAGCTCATTTTACAAATCAGGAAACTTGGCGGCAGCTAGGCAGCACAGTGGATAGAGTATCGACCCTGGATTCAGGAGTTCAAATCCAGCCTCAGACACATAACACTTACTAGTTGTGTGACCCGGGGCAAGTCACTTAACCCCATTGCCTAGCCAAAACAAAACAGAAAAAACAAACAAATGAGGAAACTTGGGGCAAACAGGGTTAAGTGACTTGCCCAGGGTCACACAACTAGTGTCTGAAGCCCAATTTGAACTCAGGAATGTATCTTCTGGCACTCTATCCAGTGTCACCTAGCTGGTACGGAGTAGGCACTTATGTTTCTTGAATAATCAACTAACATTTTTAAGTGTTTACATGCCAGGTACTGTGTCAAATGCTAGGGATAAAAACACATACCCAGAACAAGCCCTGCTCCCAAGGAGTTCACAGTCCAATGGAAGAGATGATGTGCAACTAACATGTACAAATAAAACATACACAAGATAAATTGGGGTATTCTTAGAGGGAAGGCACTAAGATGAAGGAGAACTAGAAAAAACTTCTTGCAGAAGGTAGGACTTTAGCTGAGCTGTAAAGGAAGGAAGCTAGGAGGAAATGAGGGAGACAGTTCCAGACATGTGGGACAGCCAGTGAAAAAGCTCAGAGGAGTGTCCGGTTGAATACACTTGGAGTTGGGAGACGGGGAGTGACCTGTTCGAGGAATCACAAGGACACAAGTGTTATCAGGGAGTAGTATATAAGACTAGAAGGGCAGGAAGAGGCCAATTTATGAAGGGCTTTAAAAACCAAACAGGATTTTGTATTTTATTCTGGAAGCAATGGAGTTCCTGAAGTTTATTGAATTGGGGAGTGATATGGTCAGACTTGCATTTAGGAAGATCAGTTTGATATAGAGCTCTACTTCAAGCAGGGAGACCAATCAGCAGGCTACTGCAATACTCCAGGTGTGAGGTTAAAAAGATCTGCAATGTTATTGTGTTAGAGAAAAGATGGGTAAAAAAAAGTTTCACAGAAATAGGATTTGACAACTGAAGCACCTTAAAATGCAACAAATTTGAAATACTCTTATTTAACTTAAAATTTAACTCGAAGAGGCATCTAGGCATCATAGTGGCTAGAGCACTAGCCCTGGAGTCAGGAGAACCTGAATTCAAATCACGCCTCAGACACTGAGTAGCTGTGTGACCCCGGTCAAGTCACTTAACCCCAATTGCCTCCAAAAACAAAAACAAAAACAAAAACAAAAGTTAACCAAAAAAGTGACTTCCAAGATAAAATACAAAGCCTATTTGGCATTAAGGCTCTTCATAACTGGATCCCTTCCTACCTCTCCATTCTTTTTTCTCCACTAATCCCACACATCCATTCACATTGTCTATACATGTCATTCTTTCCACAACACACCATACGTCTGTCTCCATGTTTTCGCACTGGCTAACCTCCTATCCCACCCTGTGCCTGAATGGTCCTGCTCCTCTTCACTTCCACCTCCTACTTGCTTTGGCTTGAGGACTCATCTTGAATTCTACCTTCCACAGATGGCCTTTTCAGGTCCCCCCAGTTTCTAGTGCCTTTTCTTCTGAGATTACCTTCCACTTTCTCTGTAAAAACCTTCTATGTCCCTAGTAATTTTCATGTTGTCTGTCCTATTAGTATGTGAGTTCCTTGGGGGCAGGGAATTTGTGCCTTGTTCACATCCTTAGCACAGCACCTGGCACATAGTAAGCACTTAATAAATTCTTGGTGACTGACTAACCTGAAAGGATATATATCACATATTGTGTGTGGTCCTTTGGGGAATGAACAGCAACAGTTAAGACATGAACTTTTAATTCCTTTCTAGTAGTGAAGATTAGTCTGTAGGAGTCCATTTGTCCATATAGTCTTCCCTTGTGATCAATGGCATATATTTGTGGGATGTAAGACACAATCTTCAACAATGGAGCAGATGAAAGCTAACTGGCCCATTCAAGGATCAAATCTATGACCCTGGCTGGGCTCATTACCAACATGATGCAAATATGCAATCATGAAATCATTTTTAAAGTTCATTTTTAAGACTGAAATATAATATGGTTATTTACTGTAACTTTGATTCTCCTCTGGGATATGCTCATGTCTATTCATCAATAAGGTTCCCACTGAAATTTTAATTGTTCAATATACTTTTTTAAAAATATCCCACATATAACCCCCAAGGGCTTTGTTATTATGAAATTGTTTGTTGTCATGAGAAGACAACTTGTGGTAGAGGCCACAAAATTTCAGCCTCTTGATGTGAATTTCCACACCTGGCCTATTGTAGAAATACTCAATTCTAGTCCTTCTGATGATTGGATTAGATAACCTCTACTGTATCTTCTAGTTCTAAATCTGTGATTCTATAATTCTAAGAAATGAGGATAAAGAAATACTAAAACAGTGATTAAAAGCTACATCATATATTTGAGCACAAAAACTAGTAAATCTGACAGAAAACAGATTACAAGTATTGAGCCCTTTCAAAAAATTTAAGTTACACAAACACAGTTCACACCCATTTTATGAAAAATTCAAAATGGAAGTATACTTATTCAATGTATATATCAACAAGAAATTGCAATATTAACCTGTAACATTAACTTATTACAATTTTTGTATTAGGCCCCAATAGCTTTGAACTTCTATAATAAGGTACTTTCCACTTAAAACCATGTTTTTCCCGTCCTATAGAAACTTGTTTGTTTTCTTCCTCCAACTACAATTGCCAGCAATTTGGTTACAGCTTCAAGGATCAGTGCAGCACAGTATAAAATTTCATTTATTGGGAAAGTTTGTAAAAAATGAGATGGTTTTGTTTTGCTTTTTCACTTAATTTTTTAGAAGTGCAGAAAAAGGCATTTAGGGAAAAGTGTAGCATCTCAGAAGAGATTGTTTTAAAAGAAAAAGGAACAAAACAAGAAAGCAAAATGTACTCAATTATGTATTTGTACAACAAGAAAAATATCACATCACATTCTATAAGAAAAATAGTAACTGAGGATTTTAAATTATAAAAATATATAGTCAATAGGTTAAAAATGCAAATGCCTTCTCTGAACGTTCAACCTGACTTCCAAAATAGGTTAGTTTCCTGTGTACCAGGATACGAACAAAATAACTTTCTCAGTTCTCAGGTTTTATCATATTTCTCAGGCAAATATATCAATATAAGTATGAAGCAACAAGGGTGTGTATATATACACACAAGCATAGCACATCAGTTATGTATATACCTGAATGTATCTGTATGTATGTGAATGTTATCTCTCAGAGAAAAAAAAAAATGCATTTATTTTTAATGAAAACCAACCTTGCTGTGCTTTTGCTTCATAATATAAACAGGTCAGATAGGTCTATGTGACCACAGGAGCTTTAAAAAAGTTAAAATAAAATCAATCAAAATAGTGCTTCAATCTAATGTTAAGACATTGTAACAATTCTCAGTCACATAAATTAATGAATCAAGTCTCTCATGATTATCTGCATGACATTCAAATTTTAAGATAAAACAGAAGAGTCCAGAATTATAGTTAATACACTTTAAACTGATTATTTTTATACACAAAAAACCACTATAGTTATCTCCAGCATACAAATAGGAAAACTAGTGCAATACACAAACAGGTTTATTCAATAAATATATTTTTGACCTAATGGTTACCTCAAAGTTTGCAAACAGTACAGAAATGGTCACTTCTCAAAAATAACCTACACTGGGCAAAGCTCACAATTTTGAAAGATCATATACTACTCTATTTTCATGGATTTCAAAAAAGTCATCAGAAACAAATTAAACATACTATCATTTTACAAAAATAGAAATATACTTTTGGACTTTACAAAACCTAGTATACTATTAATTTTAAGTTTAAGGTTTATTTTCTGCTGGGCCAAAAAACTTCTAAAGACAGAAATCTGTTCAAATTTAAGTATATTAAAGATATTTTCTGCACTGATCATTTATGCAAATTATTTAATTCCAATTTTTCAGACCTAAGTTTCTTTTCCATTTTTAACATGGTACTTTTCATTCATTTGCCACTAAATGTTAGAAGAGACTGCTTATTTTTGAGGGTATTAGATGAAAATTTTTCACTTTAGCTTCAACTTTAAAGCCATTCAATTTACATTTTAAAATTATTCTTACTAAAATTAGAGACCAACAGTATTGAAAAGGCTCAAAGCAAACTTGATAAATTGTAAAGTAAATTCTTAAACATGACAGCCTTACTAATGTAAAATTCTAGCTTGTGTAAATACAACTTGGTACCTATAAAAATGTAAGAATATAATCACTCAACTATTTTGTAGGAAAAACATGCCCACGTAGAAATGACTACCTCCAAATTGGTAACCATGGTTAGGACTTCCTTTCTTAAGCACTAATTTTATCATATTTATTTCAAATAGCACCAATGGGTTTTTCTCTTGTTTATAACAATTGACAAAGTGAGAACATAAGGGCTTATTTCCTGTAACTGTGCTATCAATTCAAGGCACTACATGGCATACAAAATCAAAAGCAAAACAAAAATCGTGCCAAATAAATGACACCTATGTTTGTTAGGGCTCTTAATCACTTATGGTTAGAAAAACTACTAATCTTATGCAAATAACTTATTAATCCAAAAGTACATTCAGTTTTCCATAATTTTATGATGCTTTAATTTTCTTTTATAACAAAATACAGAAATGATGAAAATATCAATGTAGCATATGATCTATTAATTTTTTAAAAAGCTCTAACTGAATTTTTCCAACCTTATATGAAAAGGATAGTTTAGAAAAACTCAAGTATAAGAAGGTGGAAAATTATGTGATACATTTGCAATAGTCTATCCCTGCAGAAGAGTGAAACCATACTCTATAAAATATACTGAGGCACATAGGTTGGAAGTTTCTCAGGTAAATTTATGGCTAGAATGAAATTTTTGGAGGCCACGATAATAAATCTCCTCCAAAGCAGATATCTCTGATCACACTCAATTCTGTTTCTGAAAATACTTTTATATCTTTAGTCACTACTATCTTCATCATCTTCATCATCAGATACATTATTCAAAGGGGACTTAGGTGATCGGCTGTAAGAGTCTGATCTAGTAGGCTGACATGTAGCCAAGTCCCCAGAAGAAAGCAAATCAAAGCAGAAATCACAAATCCGCACAGGCTTAGAAGACTGGCTAGGTAGAAGAAATCGCTTTTCAGAGCAGGGCCCACACACAACAAAGCCACATTTGCGGCAGTGATGACGACGATTAACAGGAGTAAATTTTGCTTTCTGACAACGCATACACACAGTTGCCTCAGAGTCAGGTACCCAGACAGCAGCATGTTCATTACTGGGAGTCTTCCCACTTTTGGAGAGTAAATCAGTAACACACTTATTTATGTGATTCATCCATTCTGATTTTTCAGTAGCTGTGGCAGCATAAACAGCAAATGATTTAGTTGGTGTCTTGATAAGCCATCCATTCCGTAGGTCCCCCTCATCCTTGATGGAATCAATAGTGACATTCTCCAGGGGGATTATATGCTGCTTGTTATATTTTTTCTTCTGAATGACAATATTGCCATAGACAAGAATATCATTAAATAGAAAAAACTGCCTTGCTTTTGGCTTCTTTCTACACAACTTAGTCAATACTCCTTCTCCAATAAGAACTCGTCCAGGAATAGTCAAGGGTTGTCCGGCTGCTCCAAAACAGTTTTCCACTATACTTATACGTCTGGTATTTGCTTCACTGTTTGCCAATCGATCCACCATCTTCTGCTAGTAGCCTAAAAACAAAAAAAAAACAAAAAAAAAAAAAGGAAAAAAATTGTTGGCACACAGGGAGAGAAAAGTTCACAGAAGCTAGGACAAATTACTTGAACTAAATTTAATATATTGAATGAATTTTTATAAAAGGGTCAAGTGTTCCAAAATTCCTAGTAGAAAAGTAATAAATAAGATCAGCAAGATAATCCTTAAATGCCCCCCACATCCCTGGCCAAATGCTGTTTATCATCAAAGCGTCTACAGATTCTGGCACACAGCATTTCTCTACTGATAAGAACTTACAGTCAAATAGTACAAGGTGTGATATTAAGTAATGAGATTGGTTTAACAATCCAGGAACAAAAAGTTTCATAACTTCAAAACCACACATACTCTCATAAAACCAAATAAGTTTATTTTCTGGAGAGCTAAGCAACAAAGAGCTGCCTATTTGGTTAGAGCCTGAAGAAAGTTAACTGTTTTTCTTCTAATTTATCATGGAAGCAGAGAGGAAAAGGGATTTGAGGAGAAGCTATCTGAAGGACATTAATTACCAAGCTTAATATCATTACCAATGAGATTATAGATTTACAGAAGAGATCATTTCCTCATCTCTAAGATAAGGACACACTATTTACACCACTGACCTGATGCAGTTGTTGTCTAAACCAGAAAGTGATATATGTCAGTCATTACAGCCCTGAAAACAATAGTAGAGTATACACAACTATTTGTAGATTGGTATTTTTACCAATACCACAGTAGTCTCTATGCCTAAAATACTTCAGACACACACAAACTCTCACAAGAATTCAAAGATCTGACAAAAATGAAAATTCATTTAAAATAATAGATCTCCACTAAAGTTTTACTCTATTGCTTCACCATACTATAGAGATGAAATTGCCAGCAAGTTACATCTTCTCGAAGGTACAAGCCTAAACAAATATGTCCATTATTTAGCTAAATTTGGAGAGATTCATGATCAAGCTGACCACAATGTAATGGATTTTTCAACTAGAGCAATTTTTGAAGACCATCAACTTTGTCACAAGACAATGTGATAAGTAGAAGAGCTATAATGAGATCCATTAAAACTGAAAGAAATGAAACTCAGATAATCCCTGACAGTGTTGCACAATTATAGAATTTAAATGCCCTGGAATTTGATAAAGCAAACAATATTGAGCACAAATTACTGAATTTTGAACTATCTACTTTGCCATTATAGGTTCTGACATCCCATAAATCAGACCCAAGATTCTCTATAGGGTTTCTCAAGTCATCCTGTTGGGCAAGCTCTGTGTCTATAGGTTAGAAGCAGAACAGAGAGAACAGCTGAAAAGGATCCACTATTCATCAAAATGTAGGAAATATATTTCAGTTGCAATTTAAATTATCCAACCTGGAGTATATATGGGAAATTAGTCAAGACATAGCAAAGACTGTAGTGTTAGCTATCTCAGCCTGGTCTTTCTTCAAGTCCTGTTGGGTCAACACTATTCTTAAAAGAAAATTCCTGGGATCATCTAGAGGTGTGGATTTTCCTCAATAATAAGTTTAAATAGTAAGCTAACCTCAAAATATAACTATTGCGTTTTGGAATGATTGTGCCTCAACTATGATTGAGGGATACTTTCTAATTCAATTGACTGAATATTGCATGAACCCATGAGGAAATTTACATCAGAATTTAGGATTTACAGCAAGCAACACAGCACACTATGTCCATTATAGTATGAGTTCTAATTCTTTAAGAATTATGTTAACCTTTGAAAAATGGTTACTCTTGAAGACAATAGGAAATGCTTGCAAGTCTACTTGCCAATACAAATCCAGGAACTATATGAACACAATTACAAAACACTTTTAATACAAATAAAGACAGATATAAACACCTGGAGAAATATTAATTATTCATGGCTGGTGAAGCCAATATAATAAAAATGACAATTCTACTTAAATTACTTATCCAGTGTTACACCAGCCTAACTACCAAAAAAAAATTTATAATAATAAAATTATCTGGAAGAACAAAAGGTCAAGAATATCAAGGTTCAATGAAAAAAAATGTGAAGGAGGACAGCCTAGCAGTACCAGAGTTCAAATCATATTATAAAACAGCAGTCCTCAAAATCTGGTACTGGTTAAGAAATAGAGTGGTCAATCAGTGGAACATTGTAAACAATACACAGAAGTAAATGGCCATAGTAATCTAGTGTTTGATAAACCCAAAGACCCAACCTTGGAGGGTAAGAATTCACCATCTGACAAAAAAAAATTGTTTGGAAAACTAGAAAGCGGTTTGGAAGAAACTAGGTATAGAACAGCATCTCACACTGTATACCAAGGGAAGGTCAAAATGGATAAATGATGTAGCCATAAAGAGTGATGTCATTAGCAAATTAAGGGAGCAATCCAAATAAGAGATGGTTAGGATTACAGGAAGTAAAATATATAATTTTGACTACATGAAATTAAAAGTCTTCTGCGCAAACAAAACAATGTAGCCAAAATCAGAAGGAAAACAGGAAGCTGGAGAAAAGATTTTACAGCAAGTTTCTCTGATAAAGACTGCGTTTCTCAAATATACAGGGAACTAAGCCAAATTTATAAAAATAAGAGCTATTACCCAGTTGACAAATAGTCAAAGGAAATGAACAGGCAGTTTTCAGAAGAAGAAATCAAAGCTATCAATAGTCACATAAAAATGCTCAAAATCACTACTTACTGGAGAAATGCAAACTAAAAAAACTTAGATAAATCAGATTGACAGAAAAGGAAAATGACTAATGCTGGAGGAGATATGGAAAAACTGGGACATTAAGGCACTGCTGGTGGAGTTGTGAACTGATTCAATTATTCTAGAGAACAATCTGGATCTATGGCCATAGAGCAATAAAACTGCAAACCTGCTGACCCAGCAATACCACTACTAGGTCTGAATCCAAGAGACCAAAGAAAAGGGAAAAGGACCTATATTTATAGCAACTTTTTTTTTGTGGTGGCAAAGAACTGGAAATCAAGGGGATGCCCATCAATTGGGGAATGGTTGAACAAGCTGTGGTATATGATCATGATGGAATATTATTGTGCTATATGAAATGGCAAAGGGGATGGTTTCAGAAAACCCTGGGAAGACTTATATGAACTCACGCAAAGTGAAGTGAACAGAACTAGAAGATCATCATACACACTCACAGCAATACTGTACAATGATCAACTGTGAATGGCTTAGCTATTCTCAGTAACAACGATCCCAGGCAATTCCGAAAGAAATTCCAAAGGACTCATGACGATGTTATCCACCTCCAGAGAAAGAACTGATGGTGTCTGAATGCAGACTGAAGAATAATTTTTTCATTTTATTTTTGTCTTTTTTTTTTTTTTGCAACATGGCTAACATGGAAATGTTTTTCATGATTTCACAATATATAATCAATAACACATTTCTTGCCTTCAAAACAAGTAAAGAAGATTGAGGAAGGTGAGATGTAGAGAGAGAATTTGGAGCTCAAACTTCTAAAACTGACTGTCAAATATAAATAAATGAAATTTTACAAATAAAATTTTTATTTTTAAAACGAGTGTTAAAAATTTAAATTGAGAAATATTTTTAAAAACAAATGAAAATACATTTTAAAAATAATATCAAGGAAATCGATGAAAACTGTAGGCAGTACCAAACTTTAAACTACATTACAAAGCAGTAATATGCAAAACAATCTGATACTGGCTAAGAAATAAAGTAGTAGATCAGTGGAAGAGATTAGGTTCACAATACACAGTAGTAAACGATCATCTAGTGTTTGATAAACCCAAAGATCCAAGCTTTTGGGACAAGAACTCTATTTGACAAAAATTGCTGGGAAAAACTAGAAAGCAATTTGGAAGAAACTAGGTATAGACCAACATCTCACATTGTATATACCAAGATATGTTCAAAATGGGTAAACAGTTTAGATAGAAAGGTCACTATCATGAGCAAATTAGGGGTGCCTGGAAAATTTTACCTGTAACATCTATGGATAAGGGAAGACTATGATCAAACAAGAGATGGAAAGGATCATGGGAAGCAAAATGGTTAAATGAATTACATTAAATTAAAAAGGTTTTGCACAAAAAAAACCAATGCAGCCAAGATTAGAAGGAAAGCAGGAAACTGGGCGGGGGGGGGTATTTTTACATCAAGTTTCATGACAAATATAGAAATACATTTTGCATAATTTCACAGTTATAATTGATATCACATTTCTTGCCTTTTCAATGGGGAGGGAAGGGGCAGGAGGGAGAATTTGGAATTCATGTTTTGTTTTGTTTTTTTAAACATCCTAAAATAAAACAAATTTGCTTTTTAAACTTCAAAAAAAAATTTGAGAAAAAATGGTTATCCCTTAACTGATTAGAACTGACAACCATAACTGCTGCTAATATTAAATGCTTAACCTTTTCTTAGTAGCAAAGAACTAGAAACAAAAAGTTTCACCACTGACTGTTGTCATTCAGTAGTGTCCAATTCTCCAGTAGTGACCTCATTCGGGGTTTTCCTGGCAAAGATTCTGGAGTGGTTTGTAACTTCCTTCTTCAGTTTATTTTGCAGATGAAGAAAATGAGGCAAACAGGGTTAAGTGACTTGCCCATGGTCATACAGCTAGTGTCTGAGGCCACATTTTAATTCAGGTCTTCCTCACTTCAGGCCCAGCATTCTATCCAGTGTGCCACCTAGTTTACCTAAGCATTGATTGGGGAATTTGGTTAAATCGGTTGCTACAAAAATATTTTATTACTTTACTCTTTGACCCAGCAACACCTTACTAAACCTATACTCTTAAAGAGTTGAGGAAAAAGATCTATGTGTGCAAAAATATTTATAGCAGCTGTTTTCATGGTGGCAAAGAAAAGAGTGTCCCATCAATTGGAGAGTGACTAAACAAATTATGGCATATGAATGTAATGAAATACTATTATCACATAAGAAATGGTGATAGGGCACTTTCAAAGAAACCAGAGAAGATTTGTA